TCCGTTCAGCATCTTAGTGAAAACATCTCTGTGATTTAACAGCCAAAGTAACTGTTCAGATCAAGACCTCTTATCGGAGACTTGCTTGATTAACTATTGTTGTTCTCTTGATCTTGTGTTAAAGTAGATGTTTTCATTTGACTTACAGTAAAACTAAAGGATTACTGGTCTGCAATCATGAACTTTGAAAAAGCACTTGAGAAGGCAAAGCTTATTCACAATGAAGCTGCTCAAAAGGCCATCATTATTGTAAGTGGCTCGTTGCAAAGAGGAGAGAAGCTTGGGGCAGCATCAATAAGTCAGCTGTAACTATTGTCTGGTGTCCTGTGAATTGAGAAAACATCACTACATAGCTAGGGTGTTAAGAGGGGGAAAATGCAGCCTCTGAAGCAGTTTACATATTAAAAGTTATGAAACCTCCTGGCTCAGAAAACTTAACCCCAGTTTTGAACCAGTCCAACATATAGAAGGGTGGAGCCCTAGCCCTGCTCAGGTCAAGCGAAAATTTTCTTTTGACCTCCCTGGGGCAGGGATTTCACACAGAGAATAATACAGCGGTGCCTTCTCTGCGTTCAGTTGCTATCAGCTGCTGATCACAGCTCACCCTTTTCTGGCCTCTCCAAAATGTCCCAGAGAAACCACTTTGCATCAGACCATGCAAGAACATCTCGGTGTGGCCAGTGACCCACGGCAAAGCAGCCTGCGTGTTCTGGTAGCCTGCCTTCATTGACCCGACAGCGGGTTGTGGGTGATCTGACCGCACCCGGCTTGCCAGGCAACAGTTACAGCACAGACACCTACCTGTTTGGTGATTGATCCCCCATGGGTGTCCAGAGCTCAGGCAGAGCCTGTTCTCCTGCCGGAAGAAAAATGATAGTGTGAGAGATGGCATCTTCAGGGGAGGGGACATGTGATAAGGGATACTAACAGGCAGGAATCACTGCAGGGAGAAGTGAAGCATGTTGTTGCAGAGAGTTTTACGGAAGGGAAGGAGCAGGTAACAATAGCAGAGATCAAAAGAAAACAGGGAAAACTTAGGTATGTAACTGCATTTCTAGAGCTTTTTATTAACAAGCCGTATCACTTTCAGGCCTTAGATGATGTGAGCAAAAGCTTCATCGAAGAGCTGAACAAAAGAAGAGAAGAACCGACAGTTTACTCTCTTAAAGGTAGTGGTCATTTAGACCTCCGCACCCCGTAAATATAAAAATTCTCCACTTTCTTTTTCTGGAGCACAGACCGAGGGATGGGAACAAAGCACCCCATTCCCTGGTAGCAAGCATCCAAATTTCTGGCCCATGTTGCACCCTCCGTACTAGTCCACGGTAGCAGGAATTAATTTATATGTGAAGCCATAGGGTAGTTATAATTTGTGGCTTCGGTTTTTTTGGTAGTGAAAGTTTAAACTCGAGCTGGTATAAACCAAAGTAAGTGATGTCAACGAAGCCTTGATAACAGTGAAGGAGCCTGGTTTCACTCTTCGGTGCCATCCATTTAAAAAACTGCTTTTAGTAACACTGAAAGCCGCTCCAGTGCCCAGAACGAACGCGGTCAGTAGCAAAATGCGACTGTAAAAGTGACTGTGAGTAAGTGAGATCCGTAGTGTTGAGGCCTTCAAAAACATCGGCTGCATCTTAGAACTCACGTAGTATAAAAGTACGGATTTCCTTGCAAGTATTGAATCGAAATCTCCGTCGAAGCACGGCGTCCTGACCGCTGCGCTCTCGGCCTGCCCGTGCCCATCTCGGGGCTATGTCGAGCCCGAGCAGGAGATGGCAGCACTTCCCTCCCCTCCGTCCCCGGTGCCCGGTGCTGCCGACCTGCTGTCGGGTCCAGACGCGGCGATGTGCCTGCCACAGCTCCCGGTCCCCGTTCACCTCGGGCCATGCAGCTCAGCACCGTACGTCGCCAGCAAACCGAGTCTTGTGAGAGAGAAAATAGAGGAGAGCTTTCTTACTGTGGTGCCGGAGGGCAGGGGTCTTTCTTTTTTTGTGCCCTACTGATTTCTCAGTGCTGGAACTTGGTTTAAGTTTGCTTTTTCCTCCCCAGATTATGACTTCAGCAGTGAAAACACAAAAGACGACGACTTCGAGAAGTTCAGAGAGAGAGAGGAACGTGAACAACGCGCAGAGAATCAAGACGACGAAAAGCAGAAAGAAGATGCCGGGAACTATAAAGAACACGGGAACAGTCAAGAAGGTGGAAACGAACAAGAAAATAAAGAGGAGGAGGAGGAGGAGGAGGAGAGCGAAGGGGAAGAGAAGAGACGAGACAGGAAGGAGAAACGGCGG